ACATGTGGCAACCCTCTTCAAAATATTTTCAAACTACTACTTTCTGAAACCCCTTTCGTGTGTCACCCACATATTGGTGATACATATTTCTCTTACCCAATATGATAGTTTTAACAGGTGGCAACCCTCCTTTTGTTCAGCTAAGAAACAAAGCTTTTCAAAGCAATTTCGATTAATACCCTGTTTGTAATAATTGATTTTTTTTAATAATTTGAATATAATTTTCTTCAAAAAAAGTAAAACCTTATTGCACATCTATTGTCCAAGGCTTTTAGATTGACGCCTTATCGAACGAACGGTGTGGATCTAATGGCATTGATTATTAAATTATTTGAATGCAATTTTTTATCACGCGGCAACCCCTTTCGAAAAAATAAAGCCAGATAGCACATCTACAGGCCAAGCGCTTTAATTTGACACCCCATTTTTGAAAATCGAGCGGACGGTGCAGATCTTTTATCCTCAACAAAAAATGCCTTCGCGTATTATATATCGTCGTTTAAAGTACAAAACCGCGTAACTGACATTTGCTGCCAAAAACTGGATTTGCTCACACAAGCTCTTGGCTCAATCCTTATCCATTCGGCCTGAAACATACTAGCCAAAAAAGCGATTGCTTTATAAAAAGGAAAACCATTTTGAAATATGAGCGGTTTTACTCCCTAGAAAATAATTTATGCAACCTCACATACGCGGTTTTGCACTTTAAACGACGATATATAGATGTACAAATCCACCAAAAGTATGACACTGCCTTAAACTTCTGACCCCGAATTTTACATTAAATACACGTACAAACTAATTCAATTATCGTATCGAAAGTTACGTTTCCGATAAACTTGTTAATAAATGACTCTTCCGTACTCGTTCGCGCACTCTGGCCAATGTGAGAAACCCATGTTCGATATGCGGTAACCAAAACGAGTGGAGCCTTCGGTTACGGCAGAAAGAGAGGCGGCTTAGGTGAGACCACTCCGGCTTATACGGATTAAGGGCTCACTGAAGTCTGCGGCGTCTGTTCACCAGTAGGGTTGCGCGCTGGGCTTTGGACCCGCCACGTGCAAATGCCTTCCACTGAAAAGACCAAAAATGTCTAGGATGACTGCCCCCCAAACGATGACGTCCCTCGCTCGTTTGCACTTGGATATACACTTGAAATCTTCGGACCCTCCATCCTCTTCTGGATGTTCAATTTCTGAATGTCCTCGAAATATGTACATATATAAGACTGACATCACTGCAATCCAGGAAATGCGATGGACGAGACAAGGCTTCATAAAATATGCAGCGTGTGACCTCTACCACAGCTGCCATGAGACGGCGCACAAAGTTGCTGTGGGATTTGGGGTAGTGCGGAGACCACAACACCTTATCTCAAGATTCACACCCATCAGTGAACGAATTTCCACAATCCGCAGAAAGGCAAAATTAATAACATCAGCCTAACTTGTGTGGACGCCAGCAGAAAAGGGCTATGAGATTAAGGAGCATTTCTATGAGCGCCTTGGCCATGGTTATAAGCAGTACCAAGCACCACCATTGAAGCATTCTCAAAACCGCTTGGGTGTCCCCTGATCAAAGAACGAAGAAGCAAATTGATCATGTTGTGATAGACGGAAGATACGCTTCGATCGTTCTTGACATGCGCTCCTTCCGAGGAGCCAGCATCAGACTTGTTGCAGCTGAGGTCCGCATGCGCCTCTGTTCAATGAAGAGCGTTCGTCAGAAAACGCGGCAAAAGTTCGTCGTCATAAATGTACATTCACAACGGACAGAAATTCCTCACCACCTGGACATAAATAAGCAATTATGTTCTATCTCCCAACCACTTCGTACCGCTGCGGAAGAGGTTATTGGTTATTACTAAACTCTCAAATACAACTGGTATGGCTAAGATTGAATATTTTCCTTGTATACTTACCTACTTACCTACAGGTTTAACTCTCCGTCAGACACATGTTTCGATTGGCACATTCGGTACGCATGAGTCTGGCTGGACCCACATGCAAATTGTATGAATTTATATAGAAATTATGTGCAACATTTGTTCAGTTAAACTTATTTATTGTATGTTATTCAAATATTTATTCAATTTAAGGGCTTTCTTTTTTATTTTATTATTTATATACACTGGCGATCAAAACCGGGTGCATGTTCGACATTTTATTACTTACAGTAACATAACTTTTTTAATAATAAGCGGATTGCTTTGAAATTTTCAGCAATTTGTCCTTATTATCTAAGGTATAAAGCCCAGTAAATAGACAAGCGATTCACAGCAAAACGAAAGGCAACTATCTTCGCTCAGTTTTGAACTTTTAGGAGGACTCCTTTGCTGTTAATAGCGATTTTCATACGTCCGGGAATGCTCTCTACTGAGTTTTCTATGATTTCGCTTGGAATATACCCCATTATAATTTTGCTCACCTCCAAAGCTCTTTCATGTTACTGAGCTCGCTTGTGCTATGCTAATGCTCTCTTGACCACAGCGCTCAATTTTTCGATAGCTTTGAGGTCTGGGATTTGTGCTGGCCCCCATGTTAGATGTTTTTCTTGGCATGGTGTTTTTGAAGATGTTGATAACGTCTTTCCCAAAAATATGCCTTTTTATCGCTTTGGAAACAATTAATTTTCGTTCCATCGGACCATATTAGCCCTCTTCAGTTCAAAAGCTCGAATTCTTGTGACTTTTACAAAATGTAAGTGGCAGCTTAATGGCTTGGGATGTTTTGCTTGCTGGCATTTGGTGTCTTGGATTAATATAAAAGGTATAATGAACATATCATCCAAACAAATTTGCCGACTTGTAGCGAAACCTGCGAAATTGTTGCGAGGACGATCAAAGGTCGAAAACAACACCGGCTGCTTTAGCAATTTCTGTAATGAAGTGGCCAGCACAAATCCCAGACCTCAACGCCATCGAAAAATTGAGCGCTGTGGTCAAGAGAGGATTAGCATAGCCACAGCCTAACATCATTTTAGGTAACAAGTAATTTTTTGCAAAAACCCTTAAATTCTCATATAAAAATATATATATATATATATACTAGTGAACCCGCATGACGTCAAAACGCCAACATTTAATTAAACTTTTTAAACAGAGTGAAACCCTATTCAATAACCTCTAAAAATATTCCTAATGATTAATCTAAACCATTTCTCAGTGCTGCTTTTAAGTTTACGACATACAACAATACGACACTTACGACACCGTTGTGAATCCCCCAATAATTTCTTGAAGCTCTTTCACTTTGACATCCATCGCTCATATTTCATATAACTTGGGTATAAAATAGTTCAATTAGACTTCTTAAATAGGTGGCAACCCTATTCAAAATATAACTACTCCTCAAACCTTATTGCACATATAGCGATACCTTATTCACTTACCAAATTCCTTTACATAATTAAAACTGAATAACATTTTTTTTACATGTGGCAACCCTCCTATACGTAGTTAAGTTATAAAGCCTTTTCAAAACCATTTCGATTGCTACCAATATTTAATAATTGATTTAATTTATTAATTAATTTGAGCTTAATTTCTTAACAGGTGGCAACTTTTTTCGAAAAAGTAAAACCTGTTGAATCATCTACACCCTAAGCCCTTTAATTTGGTACCTCCTTTTGAAAATCTAAACGGCGGTGCGGATCTGAGGGCATTGATTAGTAAATAACTTGAGTATAATTCTTTAACAGGTGGCAACCCCTTTCGAAAAAATAAAACCAGTTTCACATCCACAGGCCAAGCGCTTTAATTTGACACCCCGAACGAACGGTGCAGATCTTTTATGCTGCACAAAAAATGCCTTCGCGTATTTTATATATAGATATATCTCATGATCCACTGATCGGATCTTAACCAGATTCGTATGGGACCACCTCTTGAGGTACTACCTTTCCGATGCAAAAAGAATTATCGGTTGACGTGGTCCAAAGTTATGCGGTAACATACATANACNAAAAAAAACAATATTCCGACAGAACTGATAACCTCCTTCTTTTTTGGAAGTCGGTTAAAAATGCAAATCATATCTTGTCATGATAATTCAAAAATTCAAAAGAACAACTTTGAAAAACGGTTGCATTCCTTCATTTTAGGTAAAAATTACATAGGAATATAGTGGGTCCAGCCAGACCTATGTGTTACGAATGTGATGTATTAATCAACATCTCTATATATCTAGCTTTATATATATGATACCAATACGATTTTTTACAGATTGGTAATTCACTAAACTTTAGTAATCTACCTGAAATATCAAGCCTCTAGCTATATTTAAAGTACCCTTTTTTTTGTAATTTGAAAATGGAAAAGGCCTGGCTGGACTCATGTGTCAGACGAAGGGTTAAGTGGAAATAAAGCTAACTAGGGAAATATAAGACCGCGAATACTTTTATTTTTATATTTAAATAAATCAGATTTATTTACAGACATTTTACACAGTTTTTTCTTGGTTTAGCTGCTGTCAAAGTTAACTGTAATTCACACATATTACATACCAACATAAACGATGAGGTTATACAATACATAAGCAATACATAGATTAGCATTTAAAACTCTAAGTGTAAACCTAAAATTACACAAAGGAACGCTAACAAAAAAAAACAATCAAAGAATACATTCAAAATTTATTACATTAAATGATTGAAGAGATCGATTAACAACTTTTAAGCTAATATTTTAGTAAACATCCATGGATTAGGTATCTATACAACTTACTTCACTGCAGTCATTCATCCCTCGAAGTCTTACTTTACAAGCAGCCGCTAGTATTAGAATTAGAAGACATTATAGCATATCTCGCTCAAGTAGTCTATGGAGTCGCTCGGGTATGGCGCTTGTCTTTGACGACTTTGCAACGACGATGTTCGTTGAGTACATTTGTGTTTACTATAGATACATTATTGCAATTGTACTAAAACTAACATGCTTACTCGTAATGCACATTCCCGGATGTTTTAGTCATACATATACATACATACATATGTATTGCTTGTATATACATACATATCTAAGTTATATCTCTCTTTTATATAATTATATCAATATTATTAATATGTATGTGCACACGTCCGAAAGAAGAAGCGTCAACTCTTTGTAGAGGCTTAGACTAAGACACAGCAAACCTGTCCGCCTGGACAATCGATGCCCGGCCGTTGTAGGTTCTCATTACATCTATCCATGCAGGCGCCCAAATGCTCTTCACACGGTGCGGGCCTCAGTGGCACTAATCGGTATGCAGAATGATTATGCAAAGTGCGGTGGGGGTGCCGAAGTTTCAGGTGAAAAGGTATTATTTTGTGACGACGAATGATTTCAGTCATGGAATGTGGCCACGTCGTCGAAGACATAGGCGATTGTTGAATTTCAATTAGATGATTGGTGCATAGAAATATGCAAAACAGGAATAGTTGGATAAGAGATTCGTGAATGGAATCGTGGTCAAAGGTGGCAGGTGGCAGGTGGCAGGTGGCAGGTGGCATGTGAAAGGTGATAGTTGAGCGAAGATTAAAGAAGAATATAAAAATAGAGTGAGTTAGTGAGTGTGCAAGAAATACTAATTTATATATGTATTAGTGAAACCCAAAGTATGTATGTAGGATAAGGTTGTGTTTGAAGTATTTATGTTTTTTGTTTGTTTTGTTTAATTCACAGTTTTTCGGGATTCACTGTCGGGAATTTTGTAAATTTTATTTATGTAACCAATAAGTGTAAGTTTTAAGAATTTTTCACTTACATTCGTAACAACACTCCACGCCACGATGTGTGTGCGATGGGCAAAGTCCGCGATTCGTAGTCGGTTCCAAACAGTCGCTGGTGTGCACACATAAGCCACCAACCATGGCGCACTCACGGTCCCCGGGATAGACTTTGACACCTTGCAGCACTGAAAATGTCATTAAAAAAAATTTGAGTTAGTTAGTTAGTTGCATATGCAAGAATAGTTTTAATTGAGAATTTACTGTACATTATTACGTAGATATGTATGTACATAAAATCACACATGTGGAACAAGAATTAATAATCAAACGTATCATTGTATAGTCGAACCATAAAAGGATTGTCCTTTTCCTCATTACAATTTCGGTTTACAGTATGATTAATTTTTAGTTTTTCTATAACAGATTCAACTATAGTAAATACTTATGTATGTGCGTTAGGGTGCATCACTGCAAAAAAAAAAATTTAAGCAACAAACACAACCGACTTCAATTCCCATATGTATTAAAATTTAGGAGCCCCGTCAATTTCTTCAAGATCCCAGGACCGGATCTAAACCAAGTTAGTATGGGACAACCCTTGAGGTACCACTTTCCGATAGAAAATTCCCGGCTGAACCTCAGATGCCACAAGGGTTTAAGCGGAATTAAAATAATGCGATTTGTGGAGGTATGTTCAAATCTGTCCAGTTCCCGTAAATCTCAATATTTTTCCAGGATATTTTGGCGGAGGTTTTAAAATATACTAAATTTGTTAATTTCGGTGGGAAAATCGAAATTTCGTTGTGAGGCAGAGACATTCCCTAACATTTCTATTCTTCCTCTTGTTTGGCGCTATAACCGCCTAAGCGATTTTAGCTAAGCTCAACATAGAAGCATGCCAACTCTTCGACTTTTTACTTGAATATCTTGGCTAACAGGACGTCTGTACCAAAAGCTTATCAATTTTTCAACATCCAAATTGCAGATCTGTCCTTCCCATTTATATTAAAAAATTATATGTTTATGTTAGAGATGTAACGGTTCTTCAACCAAACTCTAAGGGGTGTTTTTGAATAAAATTCTGAAACAAGGCGTTATTGAAAAAATTTTTGAGTTAACGCGTTTTCGAACTGGCTGCCGAGATAGGTGAGTTTTTGAATTTTTACTCTTAACTTTAATATGATATTCTTATGGTGCTAATAAATGAATCGAGCTAACGGTATATTTAAACCACAATTTTTATGCACATAAATAGTTGTATGCGTGTAAATTTTTTCTTTTCTGTATTGAAAAAGAGTCATCAAATCGGCCTGATTTTATTGCATGATGAGAAATTTTTAAAATTTCTTGAATAACTTTTTTGTTTATTAAATCTTTTTTCCAACAATCATAAATATGTACATATGTACCCATAACAAAAATAAACTGCATAAAAGCTGTTAAATAATAAAACACATTTCACGTTTTGAATTGTTTGCAAGTATTTGTTTAGTTAATAATAATATCCACATATAGTGCATGTCGCTCATTTATTAAAAGAATGTCATAACTCAGAAAAGCCATATTTTAGGAGACCTGTTTAATGTTTACAATTTCGCCTCAAAATGCATATCACCGATAACCGCATGAGTCATTAGCTCAAAATCCTCATTTTTTAGTTGTGCCAATCTTCTAGTAAATGAGCGATACGTAAAATGTATTGTGCGATACATCTGTTTTGCTTGCAGCTAAAGCGGCAATTGTTTTGGTTACAGGTAAAACGTTTTGACCTAATTTCTCTCACTTAATTAATCAACCATTGAGGTACGGATAATAAATACTTGAAAAAATAGCGGTTCGATATTTGTGTTGATCTATAATCACTTACTTTATTTTTCAGAGGCATTAAGTAAGCAAAAAATTAAAAATTTCAGATATACAGTGGCGAAAATATAAATAAGGTAGAGACATTTAAGCATTCTTTGGCTATTTATCTTTCCTTTGAACCATGTAAGTCAAAGTTTCAAACTTTTGCAAAAAAATATTCAAATTTTGAGCTTTTTAATTGAATCTGTGAATTCGACAACCGTACAAATCCAAAAGCATTTTTTCCGATACTTAGATGAAAAACAGTAGAAAGCATGTCGGCGAATGCAAGATTTTTCTCCCATTTCACCCTACTAGATACTCAGCCGTAAACGTAGCACAGCTGATTGCACCACCCGTAAAATGAGAAAAAAGCCATACATGTCCGTGGCTTTCACTGTTTTTGAACACAATAACGAGAAACTGATTTTGGACTTGTACGGTTGTCGAACTTACCGATTCAAATGGATTTTTTAGAAACATTCTGAGTTTGCAATTTTTTAGCCCATATTAGCTTACCGTTGGTTTTTGGCAATTTTTTTGTGGAAGCCGTTGCTCATTTTCTCCATCAAAAAAAAATAATGGATCATACATACTTTGTATGGAAGAAAATGCGGGAATCAAAAATTTATTAAATTTATTAAGTTTTAATGAGCTACTAAACTACATACTCAAAAAAAATTAAAAAAAAATGTCATTAAAAAGTTAACATCTATTAAAATTCGTCGTAGTCACCGACTACTGTCACTCACGCCGGTGGACGAACGTCTATCGACAATCCGCATCAAAAGGAGATTCCTAAACAACTTTCTCGTCTGCGCCCACGCTCTGACAAAGCTGCAAAGAAGAAATGTGCCACGGTGAGATCGTACGCAATGCGAACTACACAGATGGGACCGAAATATAGACGACTTACGGAAGGTTTCAAGATCAAAGCAAACTCCTTTATGAACAACCATGACATCCTAGTGACTAGTGTTCAGAACGTACTTAAATTGTGGAGAGAACACTTTTCCACCCTATTTAATGACAGTAGCACTGTAGATAGTGGAGAAGACGAGTCCGAGCTCACAATCGATGGCGATGGAATTGAAGTCCCATCGCTTGGCTATGACAATTTCTCGCCTGAAAAACAACAAAGCTGACGGCCTGACAGCTGAGCTATTTAAGTGCGGCAGCGGCAAGTTGATAAGGTGCACGCTTTAATTCTTTTGCAGAATATAGCAGATGTCATAGCTGTCATCAGACAAATATTCTTAGTATATGCGAATCGACACCAACGTCATTGTTGACAAGTTATAAGTCGCGATGCTGGTAGCATAAGTAGTAAGAGGAAAACCCCCACCGCGATGGAAAGACCAAGTGGAGAAAGATTTGGCTTCATTTCGCATTTCCAATTGGCGTCAGTCGGCACAGAAGAAAATCGACTGGCGTGCGGTTACAGCGGCTATCAAGAACAAGAAGAAATGACACTTCGACACACACAAAAGAAATTATTTAATCGACTTTAAAGATTTTCGCTTTGCGATTCCGGTTGTTTCAAAAACTCAATACTAAAAATTTTACCTAATTGTAATTTAGTCGGAGTGATGTAAAAAACAATTTAGATAAATACAAACACCCATCTGATATTTTTAATTTCACAACAATTATGAATTATTTTTAAATTGGTTGATACAAAATTTTTCGGCGTGGACGAGTTTGATTTCGAAAACTACTCCAAATTCTATGCAGATTTAAAGTGCATTAACAAAGTCTTTTTAAACGTCCAGTTTTTGAGAAAAAAAAAAATTCAAGGGTTTTTTCATTTACACGCAACTCAGCGGCATGAGGTAGAATCCAACAGACTCCATTTTATAAATTTTTGAAAATTGCCATTTTTCGACGCTAACAGATTTTTCTCTAAAAATTTACTTTTTGGAAAGTTTTTGTAAATGGGCATGGGATCCTGAAATCACCATCAAAACAATTTGTAAGATGGTGTCGGTCTGGTTTTCGAGATCCAAATTTGCACGAATTTTGTTGAACCGTGTTCTTGACAATAAAATTTTAATAATTTTTTGGTAAATTCAAAATTATATTGCTTACTACTTATGTTAATTATTATTTTTAAAGAAATTTCAATTAATGTGCACGTCTATCCTCTCAAAAAAAACCCCCCATGTAAAAGCAAGCATTGAAGAAAACTAAAACAAAAAATCAACAAATTTTCATTCAATTTTCAAGAGTTTTTCTCAGAAGTGTAATAGTTTTTTTTTATAGTTTTATAGTCTCTTTAACCTTTCAGAGTATTTTTTGCAACACTTTTTCGCAATTCTAAAAAAGCAATGCTAATTTTAACACTTTGAAAAAAAAAAGTTTGAAGTATTCTTGGTGTTTGTTAAACAATAGGCTGTATTTTAAATGAAATTCTTTAAAATAAATAAATCAGCATAAGTGGCAAACAATATTATTTTGAATTTGGTTACAATTACAACAACATTTAGTAATTATTTTATATAAAATTGTCTCGTACTTTTGCTTGAGTTTGCACGTATTCATACACATTTTTGTTAGTTTCTGAACATTATTTTCGTATTTATTCAAATCATGATCTTTTCAATCGCCCACAAATACAGCTTTAAACGCACCGTAGGTATATAGAATAAGCAGTCAAAACAACACTAGAATCACGAGTTTAAAACTGATAACATTCAATGTCAAAATTCAAGAAGTTTCTTTTTTAAAAATTAATTTTTTTTTTTTTTTGATTAAACGACACAGTAAGTTCGTTTCTTTTTCANAGCATATAGAATAAGCAGTCAAAACAACACTAGAATCACGAGTTTAAAACTGATAACATTCAATGTCAAAATTCAAGAAGTTTCTTTTTTAAAAATTATTTTTTTTTTTTTTTTGATTAAACGACACAGTAAGTTCGTTTCTTTTTCACAAGTATGTATACAAACATACATACGTATTAATGGTTAAGTGCAATTTTTACTTGCGGATATACATATGTTTGTACATACAATTTTTTTTAATAAAATCCCTTCAAAATCCCTTCAAAATCAAACACTCACAATAGTATTCAGGCAAATTGTAGATTTCGTTGTCATCCGTACCGGCACTGATGCCATTTATGGGTATCTGTGCGATCAGTAGAACACTCAGCAGATATGAAAACACTTTGCAGGACATGCTACTTTCTTTTGTTGCTACGAGGGTTTTGTGTCAAAACAAATTTTCGAAATAAAAGTTACAGCTTATTCGCACTAAAAGCAGATGTGTATCTTGGGCAGCACTTTATTGCACCAAAATAAATGCACTTGACACTACTGATCGCTGTTGTTCGCGGTCTGATCGATTCACTTTTATTTGCAGGGTGAATTTATTTAAAATAACAGTTTTCTTGAGTTCACAATCTTCCAAAAAAAAATATGCCAAATATCTATTTCTTCAATACACTTGACTGCGCGCCAGCTCGTTCACAACTGAATGTTCTTAATTACGCGATGTTTCCTTTTAAATAAATCTTCAAATTAACCGCAAAAATTTAATTACGATTTCACGTAGAACGTTTTGTTTATGCCAATTTTTCGTTGTGTTAGTGTACATATAAACATTTACTTATATTTCAGTAGGTATGTATTTGTAAGTTGCTCATTTATGTGTTAATCATTTAGTTTTTGTTTCTTTTTTTTGTTTTTTGTTTTAACACAAATTTTCTTTTTATTCTACAAAATTTTTACCACTCAGCGTCTATAAGAAAAAAACGCTCTTTCACGCCTCGTTGCAATTCGATGAATGAATAGCTCAGTCCAAATGAATGACAAATGTTGCCGCTGACGACTGTTGCTGTTGCTTCTGTGGGCCTTTTGTTTTGGCGCTCACTTGTTTCGCACAATTAGCGATCAGCCAAGCCAAAAAGAGAGCCGGCAATCGTTGTGGGAGCGTATAGTTCGATTCATGTTTTGTGTGCGCAAAATGCTTGTGTGTCTGACTGTGCCAACTTTTCGTTCCTCTTCTGAGGAACTAACCGATTTTGTTGGGTTATCAGTTTTGGGAATCTCGTTTATTTGCTATATATTTTTTTTTTTAATTTCTGATCTTTTCCCTCTTGCATCTTAAAAAAAAAAAATATGAATTTCTTTGCTGCGTCCATAACCTTTTTTCGCCAGACAACGTAGATATGTATGTGGCTGAGAATTCGTGAAACGGATCACTTTTCACTTTCACTAGTTTATCAAATGACTTGAAATGTTCAAAATGCCATTTTCTAGTTGGGAATAAAAGGTTTTGAATAGGGTTGCTATATGTCTAAAATTTTATTGAATTAATAAGGCAACTTTTAAACTTCAAAAATTTACAGAAATTCTAGAATTACGTAAAAATATATTTTCCGTAGATTTTGTATAAGAAAGTTTTGATTTTATTAAATTTGATGATTTAGGTTATGCTAGAGTGCGTTGTAAATTTTTAGAGATTCCATTTGCTTTGATCAAAAATAATGTCCAATGAAGTCCATCATCGTCCCATTTACCACAAAAAAGGAAGGTCAACATACCCAAACCCAAATTGTGCGGGACACAGATTGAGTACTCACAAGAGGCAAAATATCTAGGCGTAATACTAGATATGAGACTCAACTGGAACTCGCATCTCACAGCGATTAGCAATAAAGCCACGACATGGTAAGACTTGGGGAATATCCCCCAAATTATCATTCAATACTGTGAAAAAAAACCGATTGTCACCTATGCGGCACTGGCCTGGTGGCCAAAAGCCCAGCAGACAACCTCTAAAGCCAATCTGGGTAAGCTCCACCGCCTGGTTTGTGTGGCCATAATGGGGGCTATACGCTCGTGCCCGACAGAGGCGCTTGGTGTCACCACAGGCATACCGCCTCTAGCCACACCTATAGAGAAAGAGGCTTGCTAGAGCGCCCTGAGGCTACCGAACTTAAGTAGCTTGAAAAGTGGGGACTTAAGGGGTCATTTGGGTGTCCTAAGGCCATTCATAAATGATCCCTTTGTAAAATTCACAGACTCAATGCTACCGAAGCTGATATTTACAAAGCCCTACAAGGTAATAGTGCCTGAAAGGGATACCTGTAAAACGATAATGGCCATCTTCGGCGAGGAAACTTAGGTCTGGTACACTGATAGTTTGAAACTTGAGGATGGGAATACCTGGTCAAAGGTAGTAGACAGAGTAACCAGAGTAAGGGTTCCGGGTCATGAGGGATTCGATGCCTGAAAATCTAGCGAAAGTCGGTACCCAACGGAGCCTGATCGGCCCTCAGCCTTTGTTTGATCCATCCAAAGGATACACAGCAGAGCTCCTAAGGGGATGGGAGGACTGGGAAGTTTCAACCCAATGGCGCTCGGCAAAGGAAATAGGCAGTCCAAAAGATTCATAACTCCCTCTCGAGGAATCTATGAACGGCTGCTAAATCTTACACTGCCGGCTGAGGTACCATCTGCACAAGATGGAACTCTCTGAGGATAGGAACTGCAGGTTTTGTGGGCTAGAGAATGAAACCTCGGAACATACACTAAGTGATTGCTCGCGTATAACTCGACTCAGACTTATACACCTTGGAGAGCGAATATCGTCTGCCTCCAGAACCTGCAACATTCCACCCTCCAAAGTGCTTAATTTCATTAACAGCCTAAGGTTGGAGTGGCTTGATAAGGGTTAGCACAATAGATCTAGCTAGGTCGCAGCGCTATATATGCCCTATCAATAATAACAATCTATGTATTTCCATAAAAAAATTCTATTTCAACATCGCGGGAAAATGTTATCCGTTTTACGAATTCTCAGGCATGTATGTATGAGATACAGCATTTATTGCAAGCTTTTATATACTTACATACATATATGTATACATATGTGTATACATACATACATACATACATCCATATGTATGTAAATAAATATGCTTTTAATATTTGCAATTGAAGGCGTAACGTTACCCATATTTTTTCATCAAATCAACATTTCATTTGTGTCATGAGACCAAAGCCATCACGTGGCCTTAACCAACAGATCTGCTAATAGTGTGAGAGTCGCAACTCAGCAACCAGACAAGGAAGAGTTCCGGTTATGTTGAGTTTTAATAAAACAGAAAATAAAATGAGAGAAGCAATAATAATAATTAATTGGGGGGAGTTTTTGTAATTGGCATAAAGTATATACACAAAACTCATATGCCCGCATACAAATATACATATGTATGTACAGTAAAACCCGCTTAAGTAACTCACGAAAAATTTCAGCCTTTTGAGGTACTTAGGCCGGTGGGTACTATTACAAGAACCAGCTAAATTACCTCGATGCGGTTATTTAATGAAGTAAGCGTAGTTTAAGACAAAGATCGTAGCATTATTTCAACACAAAAACAATAGAGAAAACCTTTATTAAAAAAAAAGATACAGCAGTGTTATGTAATTTTTAGAAAAATTTAATTCTTTATACATACCTGGGACCGAACATAACAGTTATTGCTGAAAACTCTCATGGGAAAATTCACTTTGAAGGAAATGTTCTGCAACTAAGTACCAATTGATTTCGTTTCTCACCGAGACTCAAATTTGAAAGTAAATTTTTATTTGCAATTTTTATGTAAAATTTAAAAAATAACAATTATTTTTGATTTTTATATTATATGTCTTAGATAACAGTTATTGAAGATTTTTATTTATAAAAGTCATCAATAAAAATCTCTCAGTGACTTTTACTTTTAAAAGTCATCAATATAAATCAGTCACCGACTTTTATTTTTTAAATCATTCGTATAAAAGTCGTTAACATTTTTCGCAGTTAAGAAGGTGTTGGGTAAACAAAAGTTTACTACGACTTATACAAATGACTTTTATAAGTATGATTTAAAAAATAAAGGTCACTGACTGATTTACATTTATAAATAAAAGTCTTCGATAACTGTTATCTAACACATATAATTTAAAAATTAAAAATAACTCTTATTTGCAGATTAGATATTTAGATAAAAATCAAAAATAATTGTTATTTTGGATTTATAAAATAAAAATCAGAAATAACGGTTTATTTAAGGAGTAATTAAATAAAAGTCAAAAAATAATTATGAAAGAGCGATTTTTTTTTTTTTTAAGTGGTAACTGTTACTGTCCCTGATACATACGTACACACAGTGTTGGACATATCATTTTGGATCAAATTCATACAATCCAAATACCATATAAACCCAAGCTTAAAATTTTGAAAAACACTGAAAAAAGTTCATCAAAATTTCAAACTTTTTTTTAGGAGTGTTAAATTATTTTGAGTATACAGTTTTTGGCCCCTTCTAAATTAGCGCAATAATGAGCACGTTTCAAGAGGCTAAAAATTACCGTTGATTTTTTATAACTTTTGTAGCGCTGTCACTGAATTTCAAAATATTTAAATATTTTAAGAAATTTGAAAATAGCACTTAAAAGGGGAAAATTATAAGTAAAATGGTAAATGGGGTACGAAAAATTTAGGTACTTAGGCGGGTTGGGTAAATAAGCGGGGAGGTACTTAAGAGAGCGATTTTCTTCAGACTACATTAAAAAAAAATTCACGGTGCCCAAAAATTTTGGTAACTTAAGCGGGTTAGGTACTTAGGCGAGGGGTATTTAAGCGGGTTTCACTGTATATGCAGATGCACACATAATAACATATTTTCATAGATAGTACATACATATGTATGTACATATTTACAAGTGTAAGTAATTACACGTATAAGAAGTACTCATATACTATTTATGCATGTTTGACCGGACAGTTCAAGAAACTATTGATGCGCGTAAAGTGCGTAGGATTAAGTAAAATATGAAAAGTACAATAGCATAATTTTGTTACAAGCATTCTAATTGTCTATTAATAACTGTCAACATGACATATTGTACGTATGAAGTTATTCATTTATTGCACTTTTTATTACACATAAACTTTGCTATAGACATATGTACTTAGTATGCACGTACTTGCATACTTACATGAACATTAAGATAGGTCACTAAAAAATTTCTGTGTACTTTTCAAAATAATTATAATATTTAGTTCATGTTATAACCACCGTACTATCGGCTGTGACAAAAACTCGAAGAACTTTAAAAAAAAAAAAANACAGTATGCACGTACTTTCATACTTACATGAACATTAAGATAGGTCACTAAAAAATGTCTGTGTACTTTTCAAAATAATTATAATATTTAGTTCATGTTATAACCACCGTACTATCGGCTGTGACAAAAACTCGAAGAACTTTACAAAAAAAAAAAAATTTCTTAAAATGTTTTCTTTTCAGAAAATGAGTGCATAATCCTAGGTCTCGATTTAAAAAAGTTTTCTGCAAACCATTTAATATTTTGTTAAGGCATAAAAACTAAAAAATAAAACAGTTCTGCAAGTGAGGTGAATCACCTTAATGTTAATAGTTGCAGCCATATGTACATCCACAAATATGTAAATATATACTACATGCGTAGTTCCCAACAATCACGTAANGATTTAAAAAAGTTTTCTGCAAACCATTTAATATTTTGTTAAGGCATAAAAACTAAAAAATAAAACAGTTCTGCAAGTCAGGTGAATCACCTTAATGTTAATAGTTGCAGCCATATGTACATCCACAAATATGTAAATATATACTACATGCGTAGTTCCCAACAATCACGTAAAACTGTTTACATATGCGTCAAGTAAATTCGCAATCTTGTTTTCTAAGCGACTTTGCTCGTTTTGGCGGCAAAACCCCTCTATT